CCGCAACCTGAAATGAAATCCTTGCTGCAACCTGAAATGAAATCCTTGCCGCAACCTGAAATGAAATTCGAAATAGTATTTACAGGTTGGAATGTGGAGATAATAAAGAGCTGATGGAAATAGTTATATGCATTTGAAACATCGCTGATTATACTTGAAAGGATGATTCAAAAGTTTGTTTTTCTGGAGGGTATGTTGTAAAGTGCTGAGAGTGCCACTTTAAGATAAATAAGATTCACAACTTCTGAACAAACCAAGTTCTGATTCAGAATTTCTGAATAATCTCCTTTATTAAAAACTTATTGATAGATTGGCGGCCAGTGCCCCTGCAAGAACTTCACCACAGGCCGCCAGTGCGACGCCTGCCGACCAGGCTTCTACAACCTCCAGAGCTCCAACCCATTCGGGTGTGAGGATTGCGGGTGCCAGACAGCGGGGACTGTTGGGGGAGACTCCACCTGCCATCAGGAGACGGGGGTTTGCAGATGCAAGGCCAATGTTATTGGTGAGAGAAACTTCTATATATACTGTAGCCAAGCCCAGTCAGAGATTAGGGGATGTCTTCTTAACATTATACTTTATCTAACAGTCCCAAAGTCTCCAAATTGCTTGAATTGCATTCTGAGGTCCTTATTGAAAACTTATATTGCTTTAAACCTGACATCAGGTAAAATCATTTGATAAAATTTGGATATAATGGTCCCAAACTTTACAAAATTGTCTTGAAAATTGTTCTGTTTCAATTAGACATTTCTTTCAATCTTAGAATAAGGCCCTTTGAGTATTTGCCAAAATGTGTATGACTACTGTAGGGATCTGAACCAACAAACATAATAACTTGTCAAATGTCCTATCGCAGTTAGGGTTAAAGTGCATTGGCCTGCATATATGTGGATATAAATCAGTGCTGTAGTTGAGTCCTTGCATTCCGAGTCCAAGTCCGACTCTTTGTGCCGAGTCCTTTTATGATTCTGAGGTAGTGCTGTCCTCAACATCAATACATTAATATAATTCACAAATATGACACATCATTAAGATTGAAAGTGCAGTTTCTGAAAAATTATAATTAAGAATGCTTTTATTTGGTAACCGAAAAAAGTTCAAAGATAGCTGTATAGTGTGCACTTCGAACAAATTGGCAAAAAAGTTTCACCCTAGTTTTCAGATTAGGTAATAATGTGAGAAAGGTTTTGAGTAATGTGGAACTTGAGAGACGCAGGTGTGAATTGAATACAAAAAGTTAGCGATAGTCTATGATACTCTTCGCAGGTGACAAGTGCGACCGATGCAACTATGGCTTCTTCAACCTGAGCAGAGTCAACCCGCTGGGCTGCCAGCCCTGCAGCTGTAACCCCAGCGGGGGCACCAGCCCTTACTGCAATCCCGTCACGGGTGACTGCCAGTGCAACCCGGGCGTGCACGGCCGTGACTGCGACCAGTGCCTAGACGGGTACTTCAGTCTGGGGCCGGGAGGTTGTCTGCTCTGCGACTGCGATGAGGCGGGCAGCGTGCCGGGCTCGTTCTGCAACAAGACAACGGGGCAGTGCCTCTGCAAAGCCAATGTTGAAGTGAGTCACACTGCATAGACTTCTCTTTTGATATAGACTAGCATGCCTTGTCAACTGTAAACTAATCGCTGATTTCTGAAATGGACCCATACACAAAAGAAACTTTCAAATGAAATTTTTCCATTGTGAAAGGTAACCTGCATGTGAGCAGTGGATGATTTTTATGGAATAACGCATAACGTTTACCGCATAGATTCAGACAACAAACATATTGCATAATTTGCACTGTGTACTCATGACCAATTTCACAAAATGTGGTGCCGCTGTGCATTCTTTTTATTGTGTAAAGAACTTGGGTGAGGACAGTCCCTGTTTCTGCAGTGATTGTTTGGATCATAACTTGCTTAATAACTCATGGTAGGACTCGTCATGGTCATAAGGCTTGTCTTAGCATTTTGGGAATTTGTTCCAGGATAAACTACTGTTTTATATTTAACATTTTACAATTGACATCCATGGAAATATCTATAAACTGTGGGCATGACATTCAGCTTTTCTGTGTAATTTTAAGTTTGAAACAGGCTTTTAGATATCTTCCTCTTGAATATTGTTTTGTTAAGTTCTGTCATTGTTGAATAAATTGATAAATGATAATCTGTAAATAATCTAAATTCTTTGTTTATTTAGGGCCATCGATGTGACCAGTGCCGTGCCAACTCCTACAACCTGCAGCGCTCCAACCCAGGGGGCTGCAGCGACTGCGCCTGCAACACAGCGGGCACCGTCAATGCCTCGCTGTCATGCAACTCCCTGACGGGCACCTGCAACTGCAAGTCGCTGGTCAGGGGCCGCACCTGCAACCAGTGCCGCGGCAACAGCTGGGGGCTGGAGCCCTCCAACCCCAACGGGTGCCTGGCCTGCGCCTGCAACCCCACAGGCACCCAGCACGATGGCAGTGGGACGCTGCTGGGCTGTGACCAGAACTCTGGCCAGTGCCCCTGCCTGAATGGGCGGACGGGCCGGCAGTGTGACCGGTGTGCAGTGGGTGAGTTGCAAAACATGTCCTTTGGAGCTATGGGGTATTTGGTTAATGGCAAAAACGGGCTGTCAAATTTTCAGAAGTGTTTACACAGGCCTTGTGCCCAATGCTCACGTTTTCTGTCCCTGTAAGACACGAAAAGATGCTTTACAACTGAATTTGACACAATGACAAAGAACAGCGCACAGGGATAGCTTGTGTTGCGAGGGACACCCTCTTGTAGTCGTTGTTTTGGTGCTGTCCTTCGTAGTGAATTTTATTTTTCCCAAGTGACTTGTCCCAGCTATTTATAGTGAAGGAAATACTTCAAATGATAAGTATAAATTCCTCCAGAATCCTGCCAAAAATTTCTTGCTTGAACAGTTGCCATTTTAAACTGGATTGCACAAAACAACCTTCAAGGATTACTTACACGTTAATGAGTCCCTCAGTATTCAAATGTTATTAATGAAAATACTCCTTCGTGAAAACTGGGACAGGTTTTGTCGTTATTCATCCAGTTGTTCATTCTAAAGCCGCATGTGAAATGAGCATTTTGCATATGGCCGTTCACCACAGTCACAGTGTTTCAGTTGTAAAAATCCACAGCCGAAGTCACCCCCCCCAAAAAAAAAACAGTTTGGGTGTTGCCGTAGTTACTGGGAAAGGGCTCATTAATTAAAAATAGAAATGTGAATCTACCCAATTTGCCATGTTTGTCTGAGCATGTTTCTCACGGTCTCCCCCAGGCTATTTGTCCCCGGATGTTGGCGGTGGTTGTCTCCCCTGTAACTGTCACCCCCTCGGTTCAGTATCGAATGCCTGCAACACTGTGAACGGCCAGTGCCAATGCAGGGACCCGTCAACGTCGGGGGTGTCGGGACGACAGTGCGACAGCTGTTTGCCGGAATTCTGGAACTTCGGGGACCTGACAGGAACGTAAGTGCTCGACTAGTTTCTCTCAGAGAGTGAGCTAAACACCTTGTTTTTTTTTACCCTCAAGCAAATTTTGCAAGTGTGCTCTCTCCCAGTTGTTGATTCATAAAATGGTAGTGTTCTCTGAACCACCAAAATTAAAAGCAGGTTTTTGGAAAGCTAACATGGAAACCACCTCCATCACTGCAGTGGCAATTGAAATTGAAATATGGAACATAAGAACCCTTAATCACTTTGCACCCTCTGATTTTTGAGGCTCATTTTTCAGGTGAAGTAGGGGCTTTCAGCTTATGGTACATTTAGAACTTTTTTATGATGTTATATTGCTTTTGTAATCTTTGCATTGTACTTGCAGATCATAAGAAGATGGGGGCAGGTAAAACTTTTAAAAAGTTTTCTCAGTACTTATATTATTTCTCTGTTAAAGTGAGACACTTTTTTAAGCACTCTGTGCTCACAAATGTCTTGAGATGCTCAATCATTCTTGTCATCTCATTTCCCAGATGTCAGCTTTGCAACTGCAATCCAGCCGGTAGCCTTAACACCACGTGTGAGCCCACTAACGGCCTGTGTGAATGCAAGGAACTGGTGACTGGCCGACGGTGCGACACGTGCAAGAGTGGTACCAGCAACCTGCAGGCTGGTAACCCGCTGGGCTGCAGCAAAGGTCAGTGACACTGACGAGACTTTAAGACCGTTTATTGGCTAAAAGTTTGTCACAGAAGTGACACTGGCAATTTACTCGACGCTTTGTAGGATGAGTCGCGGCAAATTGAAAAGAGGTCTTTGAAAAGTCATTGAGATTTGAATTTTCTGGTTAGCGTTGGAGCAGCATGGAATTCTGGCCACTGTTTTGATTAATTTTTTAAAAATTTCAAAACTTGTGTTGGATATCACAGTCCTTCAGTGATCCATGCAAATTGGTACAGTTAACTTCTTTGCCGCTCTCTCCTCAAGAAATATACATTTTAGACATTTACTTTACGAGTAATCGCACCATCTTCAGGGCTTTCCAAAATCTCCCTTTTGTCAAGTCTTGTCCTGCCAGGTTGATTTCCTGAGTTAGCACCTTTGTACTTCCTTCACGTTCTGCCTCTTTGACCGGGACACGAATCCCAATTATTGCAAACTTCTTTCTTTAAAGCCAGGCCCTCCTCTTCTCTTCTGTTCTCCCTTTGCTAAATTCAAACTTGGAACGCTTTCAGAGGATTTTTCTTCTGCCTTACCAGAGGTAGTCAGTATTTGCGTATTATCTCAAGAATGACAGTGTCTGTTTGTGAATTTGGTTGCAGCCCCAGAGCAGCAGCCGGCCCCCAGCTGGAGTGCCCTGACACCCTTCTCCCTACGACTGGTCTGGGATCCCCCTGATGCACCCAACGGCAACATCCTGGAGTACCGATTGTACAGGGACGGGGCGTTGGTTTACAGTGGGCTGTATGGCAACGATCCCCTCAGTGAGTACATGTCATCCAAGTATGGGAAAAAAATGGAAACCGTCTGAAATCTCTTGGCAGGTGTTTTGCTCCAAGACGCAGAGTTTACACTACAGCATAGTCTAAACGAGAAGCACTGACGTTCATTTTTCAACTGAATGTGCACAAATTGCAAGAGTACTCATCATCAGCAGCATTTCACATGTCTAGCCACTGATGACAAAGTTGTGCAAGTTCATATTGTTAAGTTAGTAAGCTTGTAGTGAGGATGTGGTGGAGAAGGCTTAGTGGGAGACCCTCGGTTACCGTCCCATATGAATGCTCTTGTGAAACCATTGACCAATCTCGTGGAGAACACTACTTGTGCATTGCTTATGATGCTTGTGATAGACAAAACTTTGCGTTTAATCTCCTGCATGCACTGGAGGTGAACTGCCGGGTGGATCTCTGTGGGTGAAACATTTATGTTTGTCATCAAAGCATTAAAATCCAAGGCATCTTAAAAAGTCTAGAACACATGAGGCAGAAGAATTTATTTATATCTGTTCATCCAACAGCACATTTAGCATCAATTACAGGATGAAGTCATAATTCAGAAGGCAATTAAGCAATGTTCAGTTTTAGAGGTGGGAGGAAAACCCTGAATGAATATTCCAGGGAAAACCCAAGGAGTCAAGCAGGGACTGAAAACCCTATCCACATGCCGGCCTAGGTGGGATTCGAACCCTGGTCGGCGAGGTGGAAGGAGAGGAAAGAGCCAATACACTACACCTACCTGACTTAATGCTCCCCTTCTTTGCCACTGCAGGCACCCAAGAGTACAACGATACTGGTCTAGCACCCTACACACAGTATACCTACTATGTACAAGCTGTTAACGAAGCAGGCACTGCCTCCAGCCCGCCGATCACCGCCACCACTCCCGACGCCATCCCTGCCAACTTTGACGTTCTCACCATCACCAACGTGGGGGCGCGCACCGCTCAGTTCTCCTGGTCTAAACCAGTCCAGATCGTGGCCCCGGTCACGCGGTACATCTTGTCCTCAGTCACGCCCAGCCAGCCGGCCCCACCCACCCAGCACTACAGCGGGGGTGCCACCAGCTACACGGCCAACGATTTGATCCCCTTCACCAACTACACGTTCTTTCTGATGGTGTGCACGGCCAGCGACTGTGGGCGGGGCATCGGGAATGTCGCATACACCCCTATGGCCCCTCCTGAAGGGGTGCAGGAAGCAAATGCGGTTGGGGTTAGCACCACAGCATTCTTTATCAGTTGGGCACCCCCGACGGAACCAAATGGTGAATGAAAAGAATGAAATCTGGGTAATTCCAGAAATTAGGGGTCCAAAAGCATGACGTTTTTGTTTGCCTGTTACATTGCACTTTTGTTATTTGACATGGAAATATCAGTGGCATTGATTTCAAACTATTTTTATTTGTTTGGCAGGTAATTTTCATTAATTCCCCACTCTTGGAAGTTAGAAAATGTGTTCTGAACTTCAAAAATCATGTGTCAGATGTGACAGGGACAGGACCTGTAATTTCTGGAATTACCCCTATAATCATTCAGCTACATTATGAACAAGAGGAAGTGACTTGTAATTTAACCATTTTTTAACCTAAGGAATGGAACATTTAGGCTTACTGTCCTGAAATTTTGATCTCAAACTTTAGAAAGTTTGGTGATGGAATTTAATTTTAAAACCTACTTTAATAATAATGTTCCAAACAGATGTTGGATGTTTTGTATTTGATATCTTTAGTTTGTCAGTGTTTCTAGTAATATGTCAACAATTCTAGCAGTTCCTGTCAGAAATAGTCTTTTTGGAGAGTGTGTTACTTCCAAACTGTTCTTAGCTGTGCCACTCACTCTGTAATGGCAACTAGCTATAAGTTCCAATTTGAGCACTTATGGTCCTCAAATTGGTACTATAAATTCGCATTCCAAGTTTGGAGAAAAGGGAAAGACGACATGATGTGTACCCCTTGCACCAAACATGTTATTGTGATGTCTTTTTTTGAAGGCATCATCACCCATTATGAGCTCTTTATGCGAGGTTTGCCGGGCCTGGACGGCCTGCGTGACCCGCCCGAGACACGCATTTTCTTTCCGGCTGGCTACTACAATCCTAGACCTACCCTAACACCCCTGGAGACGCCCGCAGAGCCCCCGGCCACCAACTTCACCCAGGATGGGCTGGAGCCCTTCACCGCGTACGAGTTCAAGGTGACGGCCAGGAATGCCGCCGGGACCGGGGAGAGCAATTGGGCTCGGGCACGGACTCTGGAAGCAAGTGAGTGATGGGGTTGTTAATAGGAGATAATGTGCACTGTTTTCACAAAGGATAGAAAATGTCATTTTATATGTGGTATTGAAATAATAGCATTGTCAGCCGGTAGTTTTTATGGTTACAGCCATAGACGGTGCAGTCATTCAGAGAATCATATTGGCATAGTGGTACTTCCCTCACCTTTAAACTCTGTGGGTCGAGGTCCAAATCCCATTGTACTCAACATGGGGATGGGATTTTCAGTCCCTGCTATGGGTTTTCCCCTTTTTCCCAAAACTGACCATTTCTTTATCATCATCTTCAGAATTTAAAAAAAAAAAGGAATAAAGATAAATAGAACATTCTATTTCTGGCTGTTTGAAGCAATATCATTCCAAAACTTTGCTCTAGATTAATTCTACAACCCAGAACTTCCCAAATTCAGCACCTGTTTGTGTAGGGTTAGAGCTGTGTCTGACACAAATTTACCTGGGGCTGGCGTTCAAACAGGCCATCATCAAAACCTTTGTTTCTGAGATCCCTGAAAGGGATTGGTGACCCTTTTGGATGGATTGTTAAAAAAAACCCAAATTTCTGGCAGCCTTCTTGGGCTCTACCAGCCAAACCTCTCTTTGTCAGAGATGGCATCCGCTGTTTGCTCATGAGTATGGAAAATTTCATTTGCATGAATAGCCCAAAACGTCCCCGAGATTGAATATTGAGTATAAGGGCAAAGGAGATGGAGAGGTACGCTGCTACAGTTGCATCGAATAAATTGTATATAATGAACCCCGTGATAAAAAGTACTGATGTACACTTCACGTGCTGTTCTCCTTCTAGTGCCCGTGTTCACCCCAGCTCCATTTGCCTACGGCATCACCAGCTCCCAATTGAATGTCACCTGGCAAGCACCCACAGAGAGACAGGCCCTAGGCTTCATCGTCCGGTACAACCTCTACCAGATTGTGCCATCTCAGGACCCCTTTGCTCCACCGGAGATCGAGTCGGTAAGCAGCGAGTTGCCCTCTCTGTTGTTGCATCACTGTCAAGGTTTCGGCATAACAGTTGTTGGCAGAATATGGCCGGCAATTCATCGAAAGCAAAACAGAATGATCCAAAACGGATGAAAAATCTTATGGTGTTGTTAAAATACTACTTGATAAATGATTCTACTAAATGCTGTGTGAAAGTGTTCCCGTTTCAAGACTAAAGTGATAAATCTGTCAGGAGGCAAAGGTTGTTGCCAACAAGGGGTGAACTTTCAGAAAATATTCTAGCACCTGCAAAATGATAGGAATTGTTTGTAATTGTATAAATAGACAGCAGAATGACATTGCCATCAAAAGCTACTGAAAATGTATTGGCTTGCATTGTTTTGAATGATGCCAAATGCCTGCAGACATATTATTTCATAAGGAGAGTACCTGCACAGAAGTTTTTTTTGGAATCTCAAGTCGAGTCTACCTATTTGTGCAAGGCCTTGACCCTGGTTTTGAGTTGGACCCCAAGTGGACGTTCAAGTCCAAACTCCCCAAATTTGATTCCTACTCACAGCTAAATCAGTGCCAAAATAGTTAAGTGTAGCTCTCTTTCTAACATCGGATGTGCATTTCGAGTAATGGGCAGGGGTTGATTTCTCCTGATTTTCCCTAACTTTATGGATTTGTAACTCTAAATCACAGAATTTTTAGAGGTTTCATCAGTCACATTTCTCTGGATTTGCAACTCTAAATCACAGAATTTTTAGAGGTTTCATCAGTCACATTTCTCTCTTTTTGTGGCACCTTGTACAAAAACCAAGTGTAGGATTCACACAATCATAGCTTTATATCTGAGATTACTGGTGCCTTGCTAGTCACTAAAAGTCCCCCAAAATATTGTTACAACCCCTCTGCTGAATGTTTTGTGGTGTATTCTCGTCCCATTTTGACCATAAAACGATATTCTATTTGGGGTTTTTTTTGGGCAGTTGATTTACACATCCAATGGAACCTCCAACTATTTTGTCGTGAATGACCTCCAGCCCTACGCTCTCCACGAGTTTGTCGTCGAGGCCTGTAACAGCATCGGCTGCGTGAAGAGTGACCAATCATCCGGACGAACACTTGAATCAGGTAGAATGGCTGGATTGTGCGACAGACTGTAAGTCATTGCTGCATCCAATTGCCCCGAAAGGAAGTACATCACTCAGTGTGTACCACTTTGTGGTCTGAGATGCAGCAAAGGGAGAGGGGAATTGGAATTCATTTTTGCCCTACCACAGCGTATGTCCTAGATCTCAAGGCAACCCCTTAAAAAGCTTGACTTCTGACATTAGTGGAAATCAAGCCCGCTGTATATCTCCCGTACGTCATGATTCACTTACTTATTCTGTCCCTTGATTGGCTAAGAGATGTTATGTATTAAAAAACCCGTGTTATTCTTCTATATGCCCCTCCTAAGCTAAAGTTAAAAAGCATTCTACTCGCAGCAAGCAACAAAAAAAGCAACAAACGTGCGCCTCCTATACCAACTTGAGGGTTGCATATGTTCACGTACTGTTGACATATCTTGCAGATGTTTTTTAACGGACACCACAAAATGGGCTTAAAATACCTTATTTACCTAATATTTAAATTTTTTATTGCATGATGTAATTTTGTGAAAGCTGGCTCAAAGAAAATTGACTGAAATTACATTTAACCAATCGCCTCGTGAAGCCACACTTACCTTACATAGGAGTCAGCAGAACCTATGCATTGCAATCAACTGTGTTACTAAGACATGAAATTGTAGTCAGAGATTATTGATTTGCGCTGTGTTGTGATCACAACGTGCAACCCCCTTTTTTTTTTCCACAGTTCCCGAAGGTCTCCAACCACCCTCTGTGGACGGCTACAATTTCTCCACAATGTCAGTCACCTGGGACCCCCCTCTGCAACAGAATGGTCCCACCCCATTGTACACCGCCGTGCGCACCGTAGCATCTTTCAACTCTCACCCGCCGAGGGTAGAAAAGGGTGCGAGGTTTCCCGGAGGGGCTTACTACTTGTTCCCCAGCTCCACGCTGCCCAGCTCGGCTTACACAGGTCGGTGTAACTCTAGCTAACTCTAGTAAGATGTGTGTGCCACTTATGCTTCAGCCTAACCCATCAGGGTATTTTGAACTAAGAAATGAAAAAGTGCAACAGCATTATACATTTAGAAACCTGCGCAATGTAGCAAGGTCTTACAGGTCAACTATCCCCAAGGCCCAACAGTCTCAGATCACCAGCCAGCCAAGCCAAGGTCCAACAGTGAGACATTGTTCTGTGGGACCAGTTTTCATTTCTGTGAATAGGCAGTTCCTTTTTGATGAGCTGTTGGTTGACCAAGGCACCAAGCTCTCACAGAGCTGTGCACTGATCCCACCTTGGTGCACCCGGCCGGAGTTGGCATTCATGAAGAAATTCTTCAATTTTCTTTTCTTTTTTTCATTTAATGATCGAGTGTGTCAAATGCAGTATTCTTCTACAATTCTAAATTGTAACAAATAGTATGTAATACACTGCACAGCTTGGTTTCAATGTTGATTTTCTTTTTAATCTCCTTGCAGGGATTGAGTTTGAGTTCCGAGTGGAGCGTCTGACCTCGCCAACCATGCCCGTCGATGCCTTGCTCCTCCTAGCCGTATCACCTGAAGATCAGGAAGAGATTGTCGCTATCCAGCTTCGCAACGGTCGCCCCTGGTTCCTGTTTGACCCCCAGGGTGGGATTGCAGCCGTGACGCCCACCAACGATAGGGGTCGGAGGTACGACGATGGGCAGTGGCACCGTGTGCTTGCCGTGCGCAACGGTGTCATAGGGACCATCACAGTGGATGGGGTGTACACTGGTAAGCATGACAGTGGTTTATATTTTCATGTGCTTCCCTTCACTGTCTTCTGGTCTCAAGGCACAAGTAACACCTCTCTGATAACAAAAGGAGATAATACCCGATAGCCATCCATGCGCCTAGTGACACTGCAAAAGACCCTATAGTTTTGTACACATTCAAATGAAAGTTGGTTGTGTGTACTGTGCCCCATAGATACATGAACCAGCGCATGCACTTAATAAGTTCCTCACATGTATATGCTCTTACAAGTGGTCACAATGAATCATCAGCCATACTTGCATGGAGGCACTTTAAAAACACTCTCACCTGGGGCCAATTTCGTAGGGCTGCTTAAGCACAAAATTTGCTTAAGTGGGAAAAAAGCTTACTTGATAAATCAGGTAACCAGCCAATTCTCTGTGTGATGTATATTGTTTTGGGATCGTATTGAGCTGTTTTTTGGTTAGCATGACAATCAGAGTTTGAGCTGTTAACCTTTGTTTATTAAGCAAGAGAATTTGCTGTTGATCATCGTACAAGATTTTTCATATTGTTATGCAGATGTTTTCCCTCCTTAATTCACAGGTCAAAGCTCGGCCCCCACTGCGTCCACCATCATCGGTGTGACCACTGGTCTCTACGTGGGCGGTCTGCCTCCGGACTTTGTCCTGTCCAGAATGGACACTGGCAACAGCACCCTGATCCAGCGATCGTTCGTCGGCTGCATGCGCGGCCTGCGGGTGGAGAGGCAGCATCGCCCTGCCCCGTTGTGGGAGGATCTAGGGTGGGAGGCAGCAGCGGAGAGCCGCAACACAGTGCCAGGATGGCAGGGGTGTCCCATGGAGCGAGCAGAAGGGGTGCACTTCTTGGGAAGAGGTTTGTCACACCATTCCATTTTTATTACCTGCTGTCCTTGGCGTAAATGTGAAAGAAGATCATGAAAAAAATCTGTAAAATATTGCAAATGTTTAGAAATTTGAAATATTTTTAAGGGAAAGTGGGACGCTAATAACTATATGTGTTGAGAAATTTGTATGGAAGCAAAAATCTGTACATTTCTGCACTGGACTACATAGTTGAGTTACTGTCTTGTTAGCAATGTCTCCTTCTGTTAATAAGTTATGGCTGTTTCTTAAACACCCTAAAACCTTTGCTGTCACATAGAGACTGCAGAAAGATCGGCAAATCATGTTTCGGTTTCCTTGATATAATGACGACCATAAACAGGAGTCTATTCTTAAGAGCTAGCATTTTCCATCAGTGTTGAAACCCCACAAGACCAACACAAGACCTCCAGCCTGAATTCAAGTCACCAGCTATTCAGATGAACTTCAACAAAAGCATTCCTTTGTCAGTGTTCACCCAGTTACTTGTGACAAGTCTTGTGTCTGGTCTGTTCTTTTTCTTGTGATGGTCTTGACTATGACACATTGACATTTTGCTCGGATATTGTAAACCATGTCCTTGCTGACTTGTTCATTTCAGACAAGAATGCTGTATTTGTATTTGTCATACATCAAGTCTGTCCGCAGTGCAGATCCTTGCTCACCGTTGACAATTTGCCATGGTCTTGTTCCTGTACTTAACTTAATTTGACATCCAACATTTTGTTTATGCAGGGTATGCTAGTCTGCCAGAGGGGACGGTTACCAGCGGGCCTGCATTCATCGTCACCATGGAGATGAGAACCCAGCTGAGTTCGGGACTGATCATGTTTGGCTACGCTACAAGTGGGGCTTTCTTCCTACTGCAACTTGTTAACGGGGACTTGGAGGTACAGAGGGATCTGCAGGATCTGAACTTCAGTTTAATTTGAGAGCTCTTACAACCATAGTTTCATTTGGAAACTTTTGCAAGTCTTGACAGTGATTGTGTATTTGAGTCATTGCAGGTCTTTTTTGTCATTAGCCACTCAGGAGTCCGTTTTTGTTGTGTCCGTCTGCACATTTGAGAGGTGTACTGTAACTTGCCTTGTGAATTATGTTCAAGACGAAAGATTACTTACATCACTGCATTTGTGGCATCTTATCAGGTTTTGAGATGGATCTTTTTTAACACACACCCATGTCTGTGCAAAATTGTTCACCTTATAAACTGAAGCTTCGGGGGTTAAGCTGATTCAAGGATTATGATTCTAACAGAATGATTTCCAAGTAGCAAAAATGACTTTTGAATCAATTATGGACCCTGCATGGTGGGACTCAGTCTAATCAATTTTATCCGCATAACGTCGACATTACTAGGATGCCAAACTGAGGGATTAAATCATTTGGATGGCTTGCAATCGTCTGTCAACTTCACGCGAAATATGTACTTGAAACTTATTTCATGGGACCCCAGTCACGTGTCCATTTCTCTCTTGGCTTTGTTCCCAGCTTGTCATTCGCACAGGTGCGGGCAACCCTGTGACCCTGTCCACCTCGGGGGCCAGCCTCTGTGATGGCCAGTGGCGCTCGCTCACCTTGGCTCAGAACGGCGGCCAGGTGAGCATGGGTGTGCTAGGTGGACAGCAGGCCGTGGGGTCAGGGGACAGCACCCCACTGGTCGTCACATCACAGCTTTTCGTGGGCGGCGTGCCCGAGGACTCGAACGCCATGGAATTCGTTCGGGGTGCGGGGCTGACACTGCAGTCAGGTTTGTGAACAGAATTCTCAAATACGTAGATTCTAGACTTCAAAGATTCACAAAAAAAAGTATATGGAAAAATCCAAGTCGTTCTTGTTAAACACAGCACACAGTTCCTGGAATTTCAGACGGTCTCATATGGAAATATTATCATTGCTCAATAAAAGCAGAAGTTTTTACTTGTGCAGAGTTAGGGTCAGCCCAAATTGGTATCTTGTGGTTACATCTTCAGATTTTGACATTGGCATGTTGCGGTATAGGTATCCATAATCTTTAACCAAAAACGGCTGGTTCAGAAACAGCTCAAGTTGGATGATTCCCACAAATTCCATTTTCTGTTTCTCTTAGGTCAGGAATAGTTGATGATTGATAGTCCCGAGCTCAAACTTTACTTTTGACTTCATTTCCCAAATGCTTCTCCTCCAGGTTTTGGTGGATGCATGCGTCAGTTGGTGGTTAGCGGACAGAGGCTTGACTTCTCTGTCCGCAGTGTCCAACTGTCCAATGTGTACTTGGACGGCTGCCCGGCTGAGACCACGACCTCAGGCGCCTGCATGACACCAATCACTACCCCAGTGTATACAGGCCAAGGCACCAGCTTTGGGGATCACGGACTGCAGACTTACACAGGTGCGTTCAGCTGTTTCTCTGTGTCATATTTGCTACTCCTTTAACTTTCTGGGTGGGTTTCATTGAAACCTGAAATCTTTGAAGTCCTACAATTTGGAAGAAGCCAACTTCACGTTGGTTTCGCTGAAACTAACATAGGACATCCAGCCCCTAATAAAGTGCTGGGCTCAATCTTCCTCAATTCTGCAACATTTATCAAGACTCCTGGTTTATTTTGAAGGATGTGAAAAGGTTAAGTCCAGTTGTCAGCCATTCAAATCTTACACTGTAATGCCTTGGGACTGACATTGCATTGATTGGAAATGGACAGGGACTGCTTAGGGACTTTCTTTTGCCAAAAATTGTTGAGTTTATTTGAAGTCTGATGTTAAATAAAAATCTTCCACCCAGAATCACAGTGACAAAGATTAATACAATTCATTGCCTATTCCCTCTTCAACTTTTTTTAAAGTAAGACTTGCTCTCAAAGCATTTGTATTGCCTTACCAACTACCAAACCCTTTGTTGTCCTACAGAGTACTTGTATCGAGTGACTGCCACAAATAATGCAGGATCAACCACCAGCTCATGGGTGGGAGGCAGAACAAGAGAAGGGCGTGAGTATTTACTCAAGCAGTGCCCGCAGTGTGCTACATTGGTTTGGGTGTTGCTTCGTGTCACTGTTACCATGGCTCTCGTTAACCAACTTCCTACTAAAGTCAGTTGAAAAGAGCCACAGTGGATAGCAGTGTCACAGACATGAAATTTTATTTGCCTTGTGCCCAGGGAATGTGTTATGGCTTTGTGCACATTCTGATGAAAATTAGTCAGGGGTAGGCAATCACTGTGTACTCTTAAGCACTGGTTGTTGGAGAAGACCACACAGCTATTTTGTGTTCATACAGAGATGGTTACTGGTATTCACTATAGTTTTGACCTATTATACCACACATATTAGTTGTTTGTTAAGTCAAGTGTTGACTTGTTTACGATGTGCGGACGTTGTATGCTGTGTACAGACACTATGTGCAGGAACTGTAAAAAATGACAGAGTTGACTTGCTTGTAAGGGCCAGTGAAGGGGATGTAGGCCCTAAACAAGTGTAAGTGGGTAGAATGCGTCACAAAAAATTTCCTCTGAATGTACACAAAATATGAGCCGGTATGCACGAGAGGAACACGTCTGGATGGTTTTAATAGTGGAAACATTGCAGTGCCTGCCAAGAACAACAGATCATGTATTTTGAACTTGTTTCGCCACTGTGGGTCAGAAAATCCTCCATCTTCTCCATCCTCAGCCCCAACTGGCGTGACCCCGCCCACCGACCCCGTGGCCCTGAGCGGTTACATCATCCAGCTGAGCTGGCAGCGTCCTACCGGCAACACCGGTCTCCTGCTGCACTACGTCCTGACGGCTTACGACCAAGATCGGACAGGGGCAGAGCCTATCCGGATGTCCCACAACGACACGGGGCCCTCCGAGTATACAGGTCAGGGATAAGAACTCTGTTATGATCCATCTCTTGCTAAGCAATTCAGCGTGTTTTTCTTCCCCCGTGAAATGAACAGGTGCACAAGAGGAAATGATAACCCTGTGTTGTTTGCCTCAATTCTGACGCAAAGACTAATGGCTTTGTAGGTTTATCGTGGAGACAGTGCAATGACTGCCATTACCCATTTGCAACTTTAAAGACAATTGTTCAAAACTCAGAATGTTGTCCCATGACTTGATGCCGACACAAGCATCACTTACTCTCTTAGTTCCCTGGAGTGAAAAGCTTACTCCATTTGAAGTGACCATTTTCGACAGGATTGATTCTTTCATTCTAAAATGTGACTGCTATGCATGCCAGACTTTCTTACCCTAGTTTCAATGTTTGGAGAGAAGAGCAAATCTTCCATAACGTGGCTGTAAACATTGTACCGTGCACCTTTTATTTTCTAGGTAATATCACGGATGCGATCCCGTTCACCAGGTATGCGGTAACCGTCACAGCCTGCACTGCGGGGGGCTGCACAGAGAGCTCATCAGTGCCGGTCATGACACTCCAGGAAGGTCAGTGTGGATGGCTTGATTTTCAAAATGCCGATATCCTTGTGGTATGAAAGGGGGCCGGTCAGTTACAGTCACATAAGCAGTGTTGCCCTGATGGTTGTAAGTTTATCCGTAACTGAATGCCGGAAAACCTGTTCTTGTCTTGAATCAAGCAATGACGGGGAGTTGACTTTGTGTTTTTGTGTGATTTCGGGGGATATTAATTTGAATGGTTTGCCCTTCACTAAGCAATGCATTCTCATTGATGGCAATGTGCCAAATGCGGTGTCATCTACGAATCCACCCTCGGGTGTGCTGTGACAGTGGTTATATTAGAGGACGCCTGTACTGGAGGAGGTTATGTGTTCAACCTTACCTTAAACAGTCTTCTTGAAATTTTCCCCCCAGAAAATGGAAAATGATGTTGGCGAAGGGCTAATCTAATATTTCAATAAAGAGGAAGTTTGGCTGGAACTGCAGGTTGGAAATTTAAACAAGTCACCATGAATATCTTGAAATTAGACAAGCACAGAACGTTATTTTTCTTCCTTGTATTGCAGCACCTGAAGGTGTCAATCCGCCTGAGGCCACATCCACTACGGCGGACACCATTGCCCTGGCGTGGCTGGAACCAGACCGACCCAACGGTGTCATCATCAGTTACACATTACGCATGAACGACCTGGCAGTCTACACTGGCCTGCAGCAGGTGCACACCGAGTCTGGCCTCCAGGTCTACACGGGCTACAGGTTCAGGGTCAGAGGTGAGTCAGAAATATGTGTCTGTTGGGCCGCGTCTAAATCATTTGGCTGTAGGTTACAATTACACACGACTGTATGGGAACTGGCTAGGGTCACTACCATAAACGTCTGTGTAATTTCAAGCCACACCCAAGTAAGCTACTGGCTAGCAGCTGCAGCCACTTTCTATTGACATGTGTGTTATATCTAGCCATAGCCAGCATGTTTGGACACAGCCTTACCTTCCCCTTAACAAGACTGGTTATTTATCAAGGCTGATTTACGAAGTGTCATCTCTTGCATAAATGTAAAATATTTTTGGCCATAACATGCTTCATTTTGCATAGAATGTGATCGTTTTTCAATCCGCATACCTGGCATAAGTCTAACTTCAACCTGCAGAAATCTTTGGTGATTATGGGCTGTGACAGTTGTGGAACTTCCTGGATAACTGTGGAAGTTCCAGCATAACTGTGGAAGTTCCAGGACTTCGAGGATATAAAGTCTGCTACTTCAGCCTGGTTGCAGAATGATGGGTCACATATACGCTATGATGTCACTCCATTACTGGAGATGGGCCTGTTGGCCTTTGAAAATTGAACGGCAGAATATGTACCTTTGGGTTCCTGAGCAGTGAAGGATTTGTACAGTTTGAAAGCTAATGATGAATGAAGTGTTCCTGACACGCAACTATGCAGCAAATATCAGCTTTTCAACTGTTGTGTCAAGTACATCATGCCTTGCTTTAAAAAAACATATTTGATTTATATCAACATTTTTATTAACTTTCTGATCCAAATCTTTCCAATCATATTACAAGGCATTGGCAAATGCACAAAAAAGCAGAGACAGTATTAGCTCTCTGTTAAACTTAAATTATCCTTTTTTCTGGCAGCTTGCACTGCCATTGGCTGCACCGACAGCCCCGAGGTCAGCATCACCACCGCCCAGCAACCCCCGACTTTTGTTCCCCCGCCCACCTTGCTGGTGAGGGGTCCCACCTCTATTGAGGCCAGCTGGGTGGAGCCTCCCCAGCTGAATGGCCGCTTGGAGAGATACGTGCTCTACCTGTCTGTCCGGCCCGGACAGACTGGCGAAGAGGCCTATAACTCCACGGTCCTGGTGCGGAGTTACGTCCTCGCTGAGTTGACAGCCGGATCTACGTATCTGGTGACCCTCAGTGTGAGTATACGCCCCTTGTATTCTTGTGGAACGTGCTATTTGGCTGAGAATTGGTACCAGTAGATATAGGGACACCAGTTTGCTGCCTGGCATGTCTCGTTATCTTTTCTCTTCCGATTAACTTGTGTATGTGAGCAATTGGGAAAATAATCTCTGAAAATCACCAAACGTACTTAATTGGGAAGTTGGATTCTTCTGGTAAAAGGCAAAAGTAAGGAAACCTAACCCTCAGTGTCATCTGCTCTGTAAAGATTTTTAAAATTGTGTATGAACAATAGGCCCATAGAAAGGTCCAATCTGGACAAAAATGTCTCCTCAGTCAAAATCAAGTGATTACTTTTAATGGTTTTTAGAGTCCCATGCTTGCATAAAGCAAAGGCTCTAATGACTGTTGATGTAACTTGATACAACTGTGCTGTAACTGTTAATGATTGATAAGCCAGCATTGTCTTCCAGTCTCTAGGGTCAATTTAATAGAGCTGCTTACGCACAAAATTTGCTTAAGCATGAAAAAACAAAGGTTACCATAACTGAAAGACAGCTAAATACCAGTCCAAAACAATATACATCACATGGAGTTTTGGCTGGTAACCTGATTTATCAAGTAAGATGTTTTCAAGCTGAAACTAATTTTGTGCTTAAGCAGCTCTGTGAAATTGGCTCAAGCTTTTGTCAGTTGATGGAATTTGACTGTGCCAACCAGAATCACAATATTACTGTTGTTGACTTGTCTTTGTATAAAGTATATCCGCCTCGAGCGGGAGCAACAGAGGGTGTGTTTTTAAATGAAATAGACAGTCCTTTGGTAGAAACTTACCACGTAGGCATTCAAGTGTATGGGTGTTTGGCACGGGGCACGCTGAGTACATGCAAGAAATCTATACTGGAATGTACGGTCTTTGCATGCATGCCAAACGTGAGCAAGAACCTGGTTTGGAAACCTCGTACCACTAAGTCTTTCTTCTGCCGGTGAGGGTGCACATTAACTCAGGGTGGATAGCAGGGAAGAGTGATTGTGACTGAAGGAGGTGTTTGATTATATAATTTAGCACCGAGATTGTCTTGATTTGGTTGTTTTTTGTTTTTTTTCATTCCAGGCCTGCACAGGGGGAGGATGTACCAACAGTGCACCGGCCACTGCTCGCACTGAGGAGAGCATTCCGGAAGGTGTACCAGCCCCCTCAGTGACTGTCATCAGCCCCTATGAGCTCCTTGTGTCTTGGACTCCACCGGAGAATCCAAACGGTGAGTGGACGAACTCTGCCGCCCAGAGAAGGCAGAGTTCGTAACTACTGAGGAAGAAAATCATTCCTCCACCAGGTGCCTCTCACAAGGTGCCCCCCCCTGTTTGGGGGGTAACTACTGAGGAAGAAAATCATTCCTCCACCAGGTGCCTCTCACAAGGTGCCCCCCCCCGTTTGAAATTTCGAAATATACACAACATTTACGAGAGCCAGAGTTCAGATTTGTATACAGTCAAGGGTTCCCTTCAGAAATTCCACTGTTCTTGCGCCACTGAGAAGGACCGATTTTATTTGGTCTTGGAACCCTCCAGTGCAGGTCAAACTAATCTGAATTAGTCTAGGTTGTGAACAAAAAAAAACAATTCCATGTGTATGACGAGTGTAGTGTATGTGGACTCATGTGAAAAATAAAGGTCACATATTTAACTTGACTCTGTTTCTGTTTCCAGGAATTATTACCAGGTACACCTTGATCCAGGATGGCTCAGCGGTCCTCTCCAATCTCAGCCTGGCCTACCGGTCCTCGGGCCTGGCCCCCCACAGCCTTCACATCTTCCGCCTGGAGGCCTGCACCTCCCGCGGTTGCGCCTACGGTCCCGAGACCTCGGCCCGTACCGCCGAAGCGCCGCCCGTGGGGAGCATCATGCTGGGCGTGTTTGTGACAGACGCCCGCACCGTGTCAGCACGTTGGACGGCCCCGAATAATCCCAACGGAATCCTGCACTACGAAGTACTTTTCACCGGGATATTTTACGTCTCACCTGGTATGTACCCTGAGTCATTCAGCTTTTATTTCATATCATTGCTTGAATGAAACTCCACTGATTGATTTTTAAACATAGCATCACTTATTAAAAGTGGCTTCACATTTGTTAAAATTGGCGAAACTCTCGTTAGTGGACAAAACTCTCGTTGGTGGACTATTGTCACATTGAATCCCTGCATGCTCTATATACTGGACCATTTTTTGCCCAGTGCAGGGTACCATGTGATTTGTTGAGCTGTTTGGCCGACAGGTTACCCAACTGTGATGAAGTCTCACCTGATATTTGTGTCAACTTATTAGCCATTTACCAAAGAGTTGTACAAAATATTCATTGCACACTTTTTTTACCCAGTGTTGAAATCTCTTTTTGCCCAACAGGTAAGTGATTCACCTAGCACCCTGGGTTGAGAAAATTGCAAAGAAAGATTAGTAGGGTGTCATTTTTTTCTGTTGTAGGAAGTTTATAGTCTGCTGATTTGGAGAGAGAGTTTCTTCAAATTTCCTAAAAATATTCAGCTTGAAACTCGAAATGCTTGCGTGTTGCTGGTAGTTTGTTCTGTGCACACACAAGTTGGGTCTTAAGAGACGGAGATGAGACACTCTTGTAAAAGTTTACTTGAGACACAGCTTCATAAATGTGACCTGTTCTGTGAAAATGAGTCATAAGTTGCCAGAGCCACTTTTGAGTTTTCATTTGTATTGGAAAGAGCAACTTGAGCTTTTTGTTTTGATGTATCACTCAGTTTGGCATCCTGATGAAAGTGGATACTCCATGGTGAGAAATGCTGTGGGTTCCTATTGATTTACTCTGCAAAACTATTCTAAGGGACTTTTTACTCGAAAGTGGCTCTGGCGACTTGTGACTCATTTTCACTGAGTGGGTCACAAATATCATCGTTGCCTCATCAAGTGAGGCTTACATTCTGCAATCGTTGTCATAGTTCTTTCTCCAATTTGTCTCTTCCACAGAGATGGGAAACTACAACACCATCTCCCAGACCAGAACCCTGCTCAACACCACCGATGTCAACGTGCTGGTGGCCATCAGCGGTCTGATCCCGGACTCGGCTTACACTGTGCAAGTCCTAGGGTACAACACCAAAGGCAGCCTACTCAGCAACCAGCAGAACGTCCGCATGCCCAATGGCAGTAAGTCTATTTTTTGTGGTGCCATTTTTGAAAGCTTTGCTGTCAGGGCCAGGGAATAGAAGTCTTTGTTTGATGTGTGATTGGTATTTCAGACATGGCCTCAGGTCTGCAGTGCTCATTAAAAAAACCCACTCAGTGAAGTAGTCCAGCTTTGGAATCTAGGCTGTACTAAACGAAATTTAAAATATGTATTTTGAGCATTGTAAAATGGGATCATATTTTTTGCTGGTGGTGCTGTCTTTACCTCATATCACAAGGAATCATTCCATTATTGATCGTAATTCAAAGAGATAAATGTATTTGGAAACGTTGTTCATTCTTTATTAATACCCTCCCCCGTCTCTAGAAAGACAGACAATCTGATTTCCTTTGAAACTGTGTCCTTTATTCTTGAGGTCCCGATGGTGTTTTCCCACCAACACTGGTCACCCTGTCATCTTCATCAATTCGAGCCCAGTGGCAGAGCCCGGCAAGGAACAATGCTCCTGGCGATGCCAAGTACCAGCTACAGTTCCGGCCTGTCCTGCAGCCGGGTCTCCAAGAAGAGTAAGTGAAATTCTGGTCGGACGTCAGAATTGCTCTTTTCATGTACCATACGTGGGCAAACAGAATTTAATGAGATGTAACACTGCACTGAATAGGTAGAATTAGATCAGTTGTGTCAAGAATATTGGTTGTGATATCTGACCTGCGACTGATTGTTGGTTTGTCGAACTCCAGTGTGGACCCTTTTGCTACACCCTGTGGATGGACACATTGTTTGGGATCAGTTGCTTTCATTTTATTGATTTTGATGATATTTCTGTTAGATCAGAAATCATCATTTTACTCAGATTTTGTATTCTTATCAGTATTGTAGTCAAGACCACTGAAATCCTTCACAAGACCAGCACAAGACCAGCACAAGACCTCCAGTCTGACTTCAAATCACAAGCTATTCAAATGAACTGCAACAAAGGCATTTCCCTTGTCATTGTTCAACCGTTACAAGTGACTGGTCTTATGCATGGTCTCGACTACAGCACTGGTTCTTATCTAGAACTGTTTTCTGGTTGATAAATGCCGAAGCCACTCCAAGATGTTGCATATAAAAAGCCACAAGTTAAGTTCTTAGCAGAGGGGAGGGGATGCAGGATGTTGCAACCTGTACAGGGTGTTGGCCTGGTGGTGTTGGAATATTTGTTCGTTGAAATTGCAGAATTCAGCTTTGCTGAGATGGGTCAAACTTCATTCTTGGCCATCATGGGCTCTTTGTTCCTCCTTTTTCGTTAGCTTCAGTCGATTGTTCAAAATTTCCTTTTTTTATTTTGTCCAGCCTGTTTGGCAGTCCCGTCAGCGTGACCAGCTTCACCAAGACTGGCCTGAGTCCGTACACCGAGTATGAGTTCCGTGTCATAGCGAGTAACAACTTTGGTGAGACAGAGAGCGACTGGACGGCCGCACTCACATCAGAGGCTGGTGAGTTCCGTAAAAAATCACTTCAAATTTTGGCTGCTCTTTGAGTCAGAAGTCTCGGCTGGAGTTCTGTCGGTTCTTTTTGACTTGAACCGATTATATTTGGAATTGAAATGAGTCGGGATGTTCAGAACTCAACTTTCGCAAACTCAAGATAACGATTTGCATTTGTAGATGTAGCAATGCAAGAGAGGTGTTTTGGTGGTACCATGTGAAACCTCTTGGAGTGAGTTCAGTTCTGAAGAGAACTAGCGAAATGCTGAGCACACCAGTTCTCTTCAGAACTCACCTCCTAAAGGAGATCTTACATGGTGCTACCACAGACCTTCGTCAAACTTTCGAATATGCTGCTCAGTAATGAATATGAACTTCATAGTTGTCATTGAAAAGTTGTCATAGTCATAGTTGTCATAGTTGTCACTGAAAAGTGAAAGGCCTAACAAAAAGTGAATGTTTGGTGTTGTAAACTTAATTCAAGAAACTGTTCACATTTTTTTGAAGCAGCGCATCTTTTTTTTTTTACGCATATTGGATTAAAAGCATGATTCCTCTGCTGAACTAGGCTTTCAATGTCATTTTTTTTAAAAGTCATATTTCAGAATTTGGAAGTAATTTTGTGACTACTTGCTCATCACCATGTTTGATTATTACAGAAAAATTGTTCAGTTTGATAATCACTTAATGTTGTGCCAGCATGCTGACTATCTTCACATTTTATGAAGTGAAACTCTGTTCGCACATCGAACATTTTCCGGCAAGTTACCTTTTTAAGTGAATGGTACTCTCTTCATAAAAGCTCATCTTGCCTGGCAAAAAAAAACAGCCAACTGAAAGCTGTTGATCCTGGAGCATTTTGGCGTTTAATTTCACTCTCTTGTATGTGTACTTATAAAATGTGTTTCACGCTGTCCTCTCGGCAGCACCGGGACCAATCGACCCTCCCATGGCAACCATTGTGGATGCCTACAACATGCTGGTCACCTGGGAACAGCCCGAGGAACCCAACGGCGTCATCACCACGATCAGACTGTACCAGAACAACCAGCTGAGAGAGATTGTGAGTGGATGGGTCAGGCATTGGTGGTGGAGATTGCTTGTGGTCCTTTTATTTTGCAGATGCAGAGGTTGCCAGTAAAGTCACCGATGATAACTTGCCGAAAGTAGTGACCATAAAAATATCAAGCCCGACCTTTTGGTGTCATCAAGTTGTATTATCTACTTTGTTCAGTGTTCATGCGATGTCGTTTTTGCTAACTCATTTTTGCTTTGACACAGAGAGCAATGAAGTCATGTCTGAAAAAAAGGAATGTTTGATTCAGTCCTTCACATGTCAATCCACAGTTTGCAAAAAACAAGCATACTCGTCAAACTGATATTTAAATAAGCTTGACAATTTTGGACCAAATGATAGTTAAATACATTGAAAAGTGACCTAAATATTTAAACCTCTGCTGCCCTGTACTAAAATGGACTTGTTTATCATTGCAGTCATTTTTTTGTTTGGGTTCCTAACAATTGATTCAAAATCGACGTGACTTTAATTAAGCTGCGTCTAGGCCTACAACAATTATTTCCAAACACTATCTGTCTTCATTCTTTAGCTCCCAGGCAATGCAACCCAGTTCCTTGCCGATGGATTGACACCCTACACCAATTATAATTTCCACGTCGAGATGTGCAACGGTGCGGGATGCACCAGCAGTCTGCACTCAAAAACCTACAGGACACCTCAAGCAGGTGAGTGCGTGCCCTCCGTTTGAAGCCCAGAAAGTTTCAGACGGTCAAAGCATGGGTGAAGTAGGGTCAAGGAATTGGTGGCGAGAAGTCAGAGCATTTCTGATTACCTGTTAGCGTTTTTATTTCAAGTGCATGCCTGCACCCAAACCCCCCCTTTTAAAGTTAGGCATTTATATAACACAGGTCACACTGCAGAGTTCCTTAACCTTCACAGCAGAAATTGAGTAGTTTTTGTGTCACAGACCACGTACAAGTGTGACATTTCATATCAATTCTCTCCTTACCACAGTTCCCTCTGGACTGGCAGCACCCACCTTACGCTCTGAGACGCCAACCTCTGTCCTGATAACCTGGTCCACCCCAGATGCCCCCAGCGGGGTCTTGACCAGCTACCAGATCCAGCGTCGGGTCCGGGGTTCTGCCGCCGTCACCACGGTGGTCTCCATAGGGCCGGCGAGCCCCCTGGTCTACCTGGACCAGTCGCCGGCCGTCACGCCTTACACCGTCTTTGAGTACCGGATCCGCGTCAGTAACGGCGTCGGGACATCTTCAAGTCCCTGGCAGACTGTCACCACACTCTCCGCTGGTAAGGATGCTCCAGCTCCATCGGTCATTGGGAGTTGGTACACACAAACAAATTGGATAGAAATTGTAAGATGTGAGCAGAAGACCACAGTGGATAAGTTGGAATTGTTACTTGTTTACTGATTTTGACACACAGCTCCAGGGGGAGTAAACGCACCCACCGTAACCATCCTCAATCACGAGTCAGCACTGGTCACGTGGCAGCCACCGGTGCACAGCAACGGTGACCTCATCAGCTACACCATCCGGATGCCACAGCCCCGCGTGTACATTGGGGACACCAACACCACCAGCAGAGTGGTCAGCGGTCTGGTGCCCTACACCAACTACATGGGTTAGTACTCTTCGGCCGCACTTCAGTTCAGTATTTTGGGTTATGAAGCTAAGTGCAAGCAAGTACTGAGATTCGGCCAGGGAACACAAGGTTTGTTCCAGCCTACACTGCAGGCCAATTTCTTACTGGACTTAAGTGACTGGCTGTATAAAAGATCTGACATACCGTGAGCAAACAAGGATCCAGGACCCAATTCCTCTTGAGAGCCAAAACAATTTTTAGGGCAAAAAAAAAAAGGAGGGATGAGGCTTAGTTTTCGGGGCTTTTGACATGTGTTTGGGAAAGAGAAATATGAAGGGAATTGGAAAAACCTGACAGAGCCAAATCACCTTTCATTTTTTCTTTCAAAAACACAAGAAGTATTTGGCGCGTTGTTTGGGGGTCCGTGGCCTTTGTTGGCTCCCTTGGATCTGCAATAACAAGGAGTCAGGTTTACGTAACAGGAACTTAACAGGAAGCCAAGATAAGCCTTATGGCTTACCATGCCTTGAATCACACACAAGTCTTATCATTACATTAGTGTTACATAAACATGAGTTTGGCGACACAAGAAACCTTTCAGCCAATTCGTCGTTTGCCAATTCACACAACAGTGACCATCGAGGTGTGCACCATCGGTGGCTGTACTGAGAGCAGTGCCACACCCGCCCAGACTGACCCTTACATCCCCGGGGGCCAGGCTCCCCCTAGAGGTGATGCCATCACCCAGACCTACATCTCGGTCAGCTGGGGTCCCCCCACTGGTCCCAACGGGCCCAACATCAGGTACGAGCTGCACCGGATGAAGATCAGGCAACCACTGCAGTCAGGTAACTATGACACTACAGAGCATTCAACATTTTAAGAGTGCAGTGAAGATGTGTCAGACATAGTTTATTTGATTTCCATACTGAGGCTGTTTTGATATGAAGATAAACCGATCAAAAGGAAGAATTCAAAGGAAGCATTTGACTTTAACCCCTTTGACGACGGGAATTTCTTTCCGAAAGTCGACTCCAAGAGTTCCAGCCTCGCTTGGCCACAAAGGCCACCTGCCAAACCGCAAATTCTCGGTTTGTGGCCCTGTGTGCTCTGCACGTTTTGAATTACACGATGAAAAGGCTGATTGTTCGGTGGCATGCGGCTCTACTCACGCTTCCACATTCCCGTTGCCTCTTTTCAAAG